AATACCCCAGAAAAGTGACGGCGGGCGGGAGGCGTTTCCCAGCCTGCAGGACGTGCTTCATTCGGTCTTGAAATGCGGGGAATTCCTGGGATACAAATACGCAGTTGCACATTTCTCCTTTTGCCCTCTCTATTCCCCGTGCTGATTCTTCTTTTCTCTTCGCTGCCGCTCTTACCGCTATTGCTGCTCGCTCTCTCTATGATATTACAGGGGCTGTAGCATTCCATCCTGGCAGCGGGCTTCTACCGTTGCTCTGATGTTCCATATTTTTAACCACTAATCTCTCCTTTAAGGAAAATCCCCTTTACATAAACAAGACACTCTGAGTCCTTTTGTTTTGGAGTGTAGCCCTGTACAAATACTATCAATGCAGCGTACAGAGCAGCGCTTGGTATGAGAGTCAGAAGGTGTCAGGTTACCTTCATAACCAAATTTTCTTGTGAATACATGCAAGATACAACACCTATTTATAAGAAGTCCTGCTTTGGCAACTGAGTCCTCCTAACTATAGAAAACGGCTTTGTATGCATGTGCTGGAATTGATAAGCCTTCATTTTATGTCCCTTAGACCCAAAAAATTACCCTGTGGTCCATTGATCTTGAGCAGATGAACACATTTGTGATTGTAAAATGTGAAAGGAGAAAGAAAAACCCATGGGTTAAGGAAATACCCCTTTCCATACATTACTGACATCCATTAATACACAGACACAGGATAGCTGCTAGCTTATGGCAGCAGTTTGTCATTTATGCATCGAAAGCGCTGTAATTCCTAGTGTAGTAGAGTTTTAGGTGCTCGCAGTTTATTAGATCCTACACAAATCCTAATATTCTTTATGTGATCATATTGCTTTTTATTTGAAAAAGGACGGAATATTTGTAAAGTATTAGGAGGAACAGAATTTGCTAAAGAAAATCAAACACAGGGAATTCTAGAGAAACACAAAGCACGGTGAAACCATTTATGCTGAAGTAAGAAGTAAGACCTGGTTTTATCTGCGCTGACACAAGTTCCCTCGCTGAGGCCTGGGAGTGGACCTTCCCTGTTTCAGTTCTGCGCTGGGGCTGGGCAGAGGGATTTGCAGGCTGGCAGCATGACTGCCAGAGATTGCCCATGTTCCCCATGTTCGAACTAAGCTGAGGAAGACCACAAAGATTACTCCAACCCTTGCTCCTCAGCGGTCATCCCAGCTGGAGGATGAGCTGTGGTATTGTTGGCTCCATTGCTGTCATAGAAACGCAGGCTGCAGCTGAATCCCCGAGTCTTTGTCTGCCCAGACTTGGCGCAGGTGAAGCCACCTCCCCTTTCAGCGATACATCGCGAATGTCACAGCTCTGACGGTAGGGTGTCATTTTGCAATGGGAAGGACTGAGCTAGGGGAGCTCTCCACAGCGAACAAACTTATGCCTTATTTTCCAGGATTGATTTTTCTTTAGCTCTTTCATCTTTTGAGTGACAAGTAAAGAGTAGAGCAGAGCCAAACTGCAGACCCACTGAGCACCCACAGCTTGAGCCAGTGCAGTGGGAAGGTGGGGTGCTGGCTTTTTCTGAGAGAAAGGCGCTCACCTCGCATTGGGAAGTCCAGGAGTGGGAATTCCTTTGCAGTTTATCTGTATAGCTGTTGTTATATTTGTTTATTGTTCAAGTGAGATTGGGGCGTTGCTGCAATACCACAGTATATGAAGCAGCCCCAGCTCCCAAGAGCCCCCAGTCAAAACATTTCTGTAATGTTTTCAGACTGTTGGCCACCTCAGAGGGAAGGGCACTCGCTCACCAAGAACTGGCTCAGACTGAAGCTTCACGGGTGCAAATCAGCACAGTAGGAACAAAGCCAGTGCAGCCTCGTTGTAGTAGGTGTGGATTTCTACTTCTATTGACATACTCCGTTAATAGTACTTCTTTTTTCTTTATCCTGTGCTTTACATCACTGTAGTACGGAGCAACTGCCACAATTTAACTTTTGTATTTTTTTCCCAGAGAGTTGAGTGAGATGGATCATTTTCTGGTAGTTACTTACTATTTTCTGGCTAGCAAGTGTAAAGAAAGCTCATCCACTTGAAACCCAGGTGGGGCAGGAATAAGGTAGAAAAGATAAAGCTCTATGCACAGCTGTATTCTCAGACTTCTTGGAGGAGGGTGCCTGTGGATTTGGCACCAGTGGATCTGACACAATGTGAGAACTGTTTTTCTGTATCGCTTACATTATAGTTGAAATGTGAAATGAGCTCCATGTGGCAGCAGCCAAAGGAAAGAAAAAGGGAAAGAAAAAAAAAAGCAGCACTCTCCAAAAGTTTCAGTTATCCCTTGAAGCTATATTACAACATATACTACTCTAATTGAATCAGTGTGAGAACTTTTCCCCTCCATTTAGATCACTGATAGTCTCTGTCCACTTTTCCCTGGAGATGCACACATTTGATACAAAGATGTGCTGGGGACACTCACACCTAGGGTAGGATTTTAACATTCGGTTTAATACTTTAACTGCTGAAAAGGAAATGTCAATTCCTACATGCCTTTGCCAGAATCCATCATGATTTTCTCCCTCTCCTCTCCCCTTCTTTGTAGACTTAGCACCAGGGTGTGACGCAGGAAAGTTTTGTCTGAGCAAAGACTACTAGATCGGCACTGAGGAGGCAATAGATTAATTGATCATTTCTAGTGAATTTATTG